CTGTGAACTTCAGACTGCGCTCCCAGCCTTGGCCCTGGGATCAGGGGCTCCAGCCCTCCCTGCCATGCCCAGGGGTCTTCCCAAGTCGATGCAGTTTGTAGCTTCCTCCCCACTCTCTCCAACATCTGCATGCAAAGACCACTAGGAGGCTGCCACCCTCCTTCCTGCCCTCAGCACCCTCCTCTGTTGTCTGCCTGGGAGCCCCAGGCTCTCCAGACCCCCACTTACAACTGACCAAAGTGGCCCCTCTTGGGGTCCCCACTACACAAGTGTTTGTAAACTGGGCTGTTCTAAGGTTGGGGTTCCAGGGCTGGGCCCTGGTGAGGTCCCCTGGAAATCCCATTTGGACGTTGGAATAGAGCAGGGAAGGACTCTGGAAGTCTCTTCCTCCTCCTCACCTTCTCCCCACCTCAGGCCCTTGTTGGTTTAGACAATCTGCTGGGACAGAAGCTGGGTTTTCTGTCTGGGTCATCCCTCCCAGTCCTGGGGATGGGAGAGGCCTAGGGCCATGGGATGCCCCGTCCCCCATCCCATCACCTTTGGTGGGGGCAGGGCCTGGTGGCACCTCTGCAATAATGTCTGTGTTTCTCTCCCACCTGCCACTGGAACTGGAGAAGGCACTTTATTCTGGGGGGTGAGTGGGAGAAGACTCAAGTCTCCTTTCTCTGCTCCTGCCGCACGGTCCTGGAATGCTCCGTCCCCTTTCCCGAGTTACAGGCACATAGATGCGAACAGGCGATCTCAGCCCTACACATACTCACTGTCCCCTATGCCTCAGAGGAAGAGTGATGGTGGCATGGTGGTGGGTGCTGTTGGGAGGGCAGTGCCAACCTCCTCCTGGGGATCCCACTTTGACTCTAAGGATGAGGCTGGTGCTGCCCAGTGTCTCCAGGATCTGCAGGTGTCTATCCCCTAGTCTTTCCTCCCTCCCAAGCCACGGGTGGCACAGGGCACTAGATCCCTGGAGTTCAGGACCCAACACAAGCACAAGCACGGGCATAAATTGGCCTTGGCCACTGCCACCCAATGGCCCTTCTTTTGTGCGTCCAGCTGGCATTCTCACTCCCCACCCCTCCCCTAGCTGCTTGTTGCTCATTCAAACTCCTGTCCATGTATCTCCTCCCTCTTCCCATCAGCCAAGGTGGCCCCTGGGCATCAGAGCAGCATGCCCTGGGCACCAGGGTGACAGACAAACCTAGAGCATGTCTGGCTTTCCTGGTGGGTCCAGGCTCATTCTATTTCTGAGTTCCCTTCCCTTGGGGCTCTTTCCCCCTTGTTCCTGTGCACATATCTCCCTACCTTCCCTCACCCTACCTTGGACTCCCCCATCACACAGAGATGACAGTTGTATTTGTGGGATTTCACCCATTATTAATAAAACCTATATTTATACAGTAGGCAGCGTGTAAATGTATGTGGGTCTGGCGCTGGGTACCATGGGCTGTGAGGTGGTCTTCAAAGCACTTGGCAAGAAGCCTGTGAGCTTTAGGGAGCCTGTGGCAGGGGGTAGTAAGTCCTAGGTATATGTCAAGCCAGTGAATATATATCTTATGAAATAGTATCACGCTTTACATCTTACAAATATTTCATATTCTCAAGGGACTCTTATGCCAACCCTGCATTATCCCTCATGACAACCCATTTTGCAGATGAGAGAACTGAGACTTGGGTTAAATAACTTGCCCAAGGACCTTTAGCTAATGGAGATGAAACCAGGCCTGGGAACCAGGTCTTCTGCCTCCAGACTCCTCATTCTTAGTGTTGGCCAGTGATGTTCATGGCGAATATGCAAGCTGCATGTGGGTGCCCTGTGTCTGTTGCAAGCGTGTGTTCTTGCCTGAGTGGTGCATGACTCTCTCTTCAGAACTCACTGAGCCATGGCTGTGCCTATGTGTGTGTGTGTTGGGAGCAGGGGGTGGGTTCTGGTCATGAAGGGCTGTGAGAAGCAGGAAAGAGCCTGGAGCTAAAGCCCTAGGATGAGAGTGGCAGGGACCTCACTGGGCTCACCACTGCTTTCCCCTTTTCTTCCTCTCTTCTATCCCACTGGGCCACACTTACCAGGGCCCAGCTATCAGCCACCAGAACTGCAGATGGGTCTGGTGGCCTGAGGTTTGCAGTAGACAGTTGTCCAGAGGCCTTGGGGGCTGGTGGCAAGATGACCCAAGAAGCAGCACATTGTGTCACCCTCTTCCCTCCTGATGCTGAAGCTGGTGGACTGAAGGAAGGGACTGGCGTCCACCCTGCCAGCTATCTGGAACATCCTAGTTGTGCCACATGCAGAGCTAAGCACCCCAGGATAGATTAGGGTTGGGTGCTCGCCTGGAGATGGACTAACTTCGCTCCTTGTGGAGGTGGGAGATGGGAGCAGAAGTAGGAAGAAGTCCGAGTCCTTGCTTCTGGAATTCTAGTTAGCTTCAGGGGGCATTCTGGGTGCTACCTTCCTTCTCCCCAGAGTGAGGCCAGTAGATGGCTCCTTAAAGTCAGAGGGCACAAAATCCCACCATTAGATAGTCTTTCTTAAGATTCCTCTTCTTTACTTTTTCTCCTTTAAAATGCAGATACTCCTGAGAGAGCAAAACATTTATAAATTCACACATTTGTCAGTTCCCTTGGGAGCTAAAGGAGATGAACAGCCATTCCAGAGCCAGCAAGGGCCGTTCAGGCACAGAGCACATTTGTAGAGTGGCTCGTGTATTTGTGAAGACAGCTCTTTTGATTCTTACAGCCATCCCAAGAGGCTGCTAGGATGAGTATTATCATTTCCTCCTTTTACAGAGACGGAAACTAAGGTTTGGAGAAGCGACTTGAGCAAGCTCTCAAGATACTGTGTTCTTGCCACTGGGAGCAGTCAGCCCCATTAACCTGTGGAGGTGGGGCATAAATGCACTCTGCCCATCCAAACATGTCTTCAAATGGGCCCACTCTCCCAGAAGGCAGACATTCCTGGACTCAGAGATCATCTTCAACACAACCACCTCCTGTGTCAGGGTCTGTGCAAGGTGCTGGAGGGCAGAGACGACCAAGGCAGTTCTCTGTGCTATAGCTCGACAGCACCTGGTGCCCCAACCAGAGGCCTGCAGCATGACTCACTGTCCTTCTGTCTACAAGAGGCCAGTTAAATTATATGTTATTAATAACACCTACGATGGCTGTCATACCTGCTGGAAGGGTGGGGCAGGGAAACAACTTGCTCTGAGCTGTTTCCAGTAACTACAGCCGGGGGCCTGTCTGCCTCACATGGCGAGGTGTGCGGAGTGAAGCTAGAGGCGTCTGCCAGGCCTGAAATGTCACCCCTGAGACCACATTCGTAGAGTTCCCTATCTCCCCTCTCCTCTTCCCAGTCTACTCCCCTTTCAGTACTTCTCTCAAAATGAAAATGTGCCATTTCCCTGCTGCCTGGAATGCCCTTCCTTTCCCTGACTTATTTTTCAAGATCCAGTTCAAACGTCACCTCCTCTGCCAGAGGCATTAGTGACTTCCCCTCCCAGTCTTTCCTAAGGTTTCCTTCTGCCTCTGAAGTCCCATCATTTGGGCTCCCTGGAGGGGAGCTGCGATGGTCTGGTCCCCGCATGCCTTGTGCTCAGGTACCCAGACACTCAGATAATAGACCAATACCATGTGTTCAGTGAATGAACAACTGTCTACATGTATAAATGAAATATTAACACTGTCTTCAGGGGCCAGCCCGGTGGCGCAGCAGTTAAGTTCGCACCTTCCCCTTTGGCAGCCCGCGGTCCAGATCCCGGGTGCAGACTTACGCACTGCTTTTCAAGCCATGCTGTGGCAGGCGTCCCACACATAAAGCAGAGGAAGATAGGCATGGATGTTAGCTCAGAGCCAGTCTTCCTCAGCAAAAAAGAGGAGGATTGGCAGGGTGGCAGATGTTAGCTCAGGGCTAATTTTCCTAAAAAAACCCAAAACTGTCTTCAGTCTAGACGGAGGGCAGAGATCACCAAGCCCGCTTTCCAGCCCTGTCTTGAGGCCCGTCTCTATGAGTTCCTTATTGTGCACCTTAGTTCGGTGCACATTGCACACGTTTGCATGTGGCAGTGTGCCCTGGCTGTGGTGGTGGGTGGCTCCTCCATCAGCTGCGTGGGCCCTGGGTGTGCCCTGTATGGAGGCACAGCGATGAGGGTGGGGGCTTTGAGGACCAAGAAGCCTAGGGCGAGGCCATGATTGGGTTCCAGACAAGAAGAGCAGGTTGGGGAAGGAGCTGTCCCTCAGCCCCGTCTTCCCAAAGTGACCAGAAGCCATACCGAGCAGTCTGGAGTCTGAAGAGAATCAGATACAGAGGGGAGGACTCAAGAAGGCCTTGACTCAGATCTCTGCCAGGAAGTAGGCTGAGGAGGGGAAGAGGCACAGAGAGAAGGATGCCCTTGGGACGGGTGGGTGCCTCAGGAAGGCCCAGGAATGAGGAAGGAATACACAGGCCGGGGATTTTTGTTCTGGCTCTTCCACTTGCTAATTGGGTCTACCTGCGCAAGGCACTGCCCCCTTCGGAGCAGCAGTTCCGTCATCTGTAAAATGGGCCTAACAACGAGCCCTGCCCGGGAGGTGGTAGAGGGGTAGCGGGCGGGCCTGGCGCCTGGCAGGCTGCGGAGGGCAGTCCCAGCGGCAGGTCCCTCCCGGCTGCAGGGATGTCCCCGGCGGAGGGCGGGGCGCTGGAGGGCGGGCAGGCGAGGCCCCGCCCCGGGCCCGCTTCCCGGGCACCCGGCCTCTCGCTGTGCCCTCCTCCCGGGTCCCCACTGGCCGCGCGCGCCCGGGCTCGCCCTCGCCGGTGCCCGCTGCCAGGACCGGATGCAGGCGGGCAGGAAGCGCCGCGCGGGGCCTCTGGGAGCAAGCGGGAGACGCCGGCGGGCCGCGGGCTCCGGGCCTGGGCAGCCGCGGGTAAAGGCCCAGCGAGCCCCGTCGCCCCTCGCCCCCGGCGGGGCCGCTGCGCGGGGCGAGTGCCGCTGGGGCTGCGCGGCCGGACGGTAGGACGGAGCCGGTACGCTGCGTGGGGGGCACTCTGGCCGGCTCTCCGCTTGGGCTCCGAAGCCATCTGCATCTCGAGAGCTGTTTGGGACCCAGTTTGGGGCAAGGAGCGCTGGACCTGTGGGAGCACAGCCCCCGTACCTTTGTGGCTGTATCCCTTCCTTTCTCACTGCCCTAGAGACTTGGGTGATCTCCAGAGAACTGCTCTCAGCACCCCCGACCCCTCCGCGAGTCCCATCTTGAATCAGTGGCCCTGGATCTCATTTTACCCCCTTGACCTACTTTCTCCAAGCTTTCTCAGCTTCATGGCTCTCTTAACCCTTCTCCAGCCCCTGGGGCTGGTGCTCTGAGCCCTAGCCCGCCCCTCCAGTGGTTGGCCCTGCTGGCAGGTGGGCCCAATGCAGCCAATTCTCCTTAAGTTTGCCCTGCCCTTAAGGAGCCACATCTCAGTGGAGACCAGGTGCCAAACAGCAGCATGCTCCATTTAAGGGAGCTCAGAGGGATTGGGAAAGACTTCCCAGGAGAAAGGCCCTTTGAGCAGAGTCTTAAAAGATTGGGTAGGATCTGGACAAGGGAGGAAGGTCATTGCAAACTGAAGAAAGTGTATGAACAAAGTTAGGAAAGTGTGAGCAAGAATTCAGTGAGCCTGGCAAATGAACTGTGAGTCGAGGGCAAACTCAGAAAAATAGCTTGTGTGGGCCAGGTGTTTGGACTTTGTAGTAACCTGGGATTTTAGGGAGACAACTGGTGGCTGGGATGAGGGATTGGAATGGGATGAGACTGAAGGCAGAGGCCAGGAAGGAGAAGGGGGTCCTTGGAAGTTCTGGAGCGTCTGATGCAGTAGGAACGGGCTGGCAAAGCACTGGGAGGACGGATCAGTAGGACTGTTGACTGTCTGAAGGAGGGGCGAGGATTTAAAGACAAAGGTCGGATTTCCAGCGTAAGTCGTGCAACTGGGGAGATCTGCAGTAAAGTAACTTAAAGGGGAGGTGCTCCTAAAGGTGATGAGCTCAGTTCTGCCTGCATGAAGCTTGAAGCACGGGGGGCAGGATGTCCATATGGAGATGTCAAGTAGGAAGTTCATTCATGCATTTATTTATTATTTATGCCAGCCTCAAAGGCAGCTTACATAAAAGTCACAGAAGATAAAATGATAAAACCATTAAAACTCAGCTAAAAGGACCTGATAGCTAGGGGAAAAAGGCAGAGGGGGCGGATAGTTGTTGCTGGAAAATGTTGGCTCAGAAAAGCCACTGGAAATGAACACAGGACTCACCTGAGCTTGCTTGCAGCCGGCCAAGCAAAAAAGGACACCTAAAGAAAGCACTTCACTGGGCTGGAGGTCTGGGAGAGGTGATAGGTGGTAGGAGATAAACGGGGATTGTTCAGGTGGGGGATATAGGAGAGGGAGGAGATCTGAAGGCCAGGCCAGGGCTTTGGCAATGCTGACATTTAAGGAAAGGCTGACACTCTCCTCAAGAGGAAGGCCTTTCCTTGGCCTGCATGGGGAGGTAGGGGTGGGAAGGTGGGGTGTGTGTGGTCCATTTGCACCATTCTTCCTGCAGGGGAACAGGATAGAAGGTGGTGTGCGAGATCCCTTGGGCTCCGACTGTCTCTCCTGCTGCCATGAGCTGGAGCTGCCATGTGCCCAGGGCCTCCTGGGGCCCTGGTTTGGGAAGAGTGTTCCAGCCAGCAGGTGAGCAGGAAGCAGGGGTTTCTGTTTTTACCTCTTCCTCTTCAGAGTCCAGAAGGTGCCTGCAAGAGAGCAGGGATCCAGATGTCAGGTGTGCTAGCCCCAGCTCTGTGGTTCAGTAGCTTTTGGCCTTGGGTAAGTCACCTCACCTCCCTGAGCTTCCTTTTTCCCATCCTAAAATGAAGGAGTCGGACTAGTGATCTTCGAGGGTCCCTGTAGCTACATAAGTCCAGGAACACTTGTCTGATTTTATTTTGCAGGCAACAAATATTTATTGAGTGTCTTCCATGGGCCAGACCCTGTGCTAAGTTCTAAGTATATAATTATGAACCAAAACAGATGTGATCCCTGCTCTCATGGGGGGTGGGCAGAGGGGTGAGACGGAAATGAATGTTAACCAAATAATTACACGATGAAGTATGAAATTGCATAATAACTGCTACAGTGGGGTGGTACGTGATGCTATGAGAGTAAATAAAGGGGGATTTGATATAGACGTGGGGTCTGTGTATTGGTGGCGGAATGTGAATGGGATCTGGATGCTGTTTCATCTCCTTTCTCTCTGTAGATGAACGTACCTCCTTCCTGATCCACTGGAGTTGGCCCCTTAAAAGGGAGCGTCCTCTTGGGCCCCCTAGGTGAGGTCTCAGTGTCATACCTTGGAACACATCTGGGCACAGCAGAGGAGCCTGGGAAGGGTCAGGCCTTGAGAGAGCTTGATCCCTGAGGGGGAGGTTGGTCTTCTGGAGGTGGGGAGGGTACAGAGTCAGCTACCAGGTCTAAGAGGAAGTTGGCTTACATCATCAACGGCACAAGTCACAGTGGTTAGCCAGAGGGAGGACCTGTGGGAAGTGGGTGGAGTCTGGTGGTGGCCAGCCTGAGTTCCAGGCAGGCAGGCAGCAATGGGGAGCTGGAGGGCTAGGAGTGAGGCCTCAGTCCCTGGGAAGGGTCTGAGAGTCAGACAAGGCTCTCAACTTGAGTGTCCAGGGTCAGGCCTGGATCTCAGAAAGCCAGAAGTCCGTCAGTCCAGACAGGCCTGGACTCAGAGCCTGTGCAGAGGCTGAGCCCAGTAGCCAAGCCCCGGCTCATCCCTTCTCCTTGCTCTCAGGGCCTTTATACGCCATCATGGAAGCTCAGCAGACAGTGGTCCCCCATCAGGGAGGCATGGACAGTGGTTCCGGGGCACCTCTGCAGCTGGTAAAGGGACTGGCTCCTTAGTGAGCCTGAGGAGGGGGGCTGGCTGGGATCCTGGTAGGGGGTCAGGGGGAGGGGCCTGGAGGGAGAAGCAGGCAGGAAGAAGGAGCAATAGATGATCCACTGCCATCATCCATCAGTGGGCCCACCCTTCCTGGCCCCATCATCCATCTGTCTGTGTATCCCTTCCTGCAACACTATTGCAATGCACACTTACTGTGTACAAAGCACTGGGAAGGATAGATCATCCCCATCCACCTTCTGCAAACTGGGTCCAGCAGTCAGGTGAAGATTGCATATGGATAACCATGTAGCCAGTCAGCCCAGGCTCAGCATCCCTCATCCTGTGGCTCCCCACTTTCTGCCACAGGGGCTCCAAGCTTTCTGGACAGTCTGTATTTTCTGAGAGAGTCCTGTGTGCCCAGCACCATTCTGGGCCCTGCATCTCCTGATGCTGTGTCTTGACTCTGCAGCCTCACCCTACCACCACCCTGGCTGGCCCTAAGCTTCTGCATCTCCCTGCCTGTTTCCCTGACCTGTTCTCCTTGCCTTCCCATCTAGAAGCTATCCAGCGGCACCGCCGGAACCTAGCTGAGTGGTTCAGCCGGCTGCCCAGGGAAGAGCGCCAGTTCGGCCCAACCTTTGCACTAGATACAGTCCATGTAGACCCCGTGATCCGTGAGAGCACCCCTGATGAGCTGCTTCGCCCCCTGGCGGAGCTAGCCCTGGAGCATCAGCCACCCCCAGCCAGGCTCCCCACACTGGCCCTGTCTCAGCTCTTTGACCCAGATGCCTGTGGGCGCCGGGTGCAGACAGTGGTGCTGTACGGGACGGTGGGCACAGGCAAGAGCACACTGGTACGCAAGATGGTCCTGGACTGGTGTTATGGGCGGCTGCCAGCCTTCGAGCTGCTCATCCCCTTCTCCTGCGAGGACCTGTCATCCCTGGGCCCTGCCCCGGCCTCCTTGTGCCATCTTGTGGCCCAGCGCTACACGCCCTTGAAGGAGATTCTGCCTCTGATGGCTGCTGCTGGGTCCCGCCTGCTCTTTGTGCTCCATGGCTTGGAGCATCTCAACCTCAACTTCCAGTTGGCGGGCACGGGGCTTTGCAGTGACCCTGAGGAGCCAAAGGCGCCAGCTGCCATCATGGTCAACCTACTGCGCAAATACATGCTGCCCAAGGTGAGTGGCCCCCTGCCCCGCCACCACTGCCCCCTGACTTGCCCCCTAAGCATTTTTGTGTCACAGGCCTGCATGTTTATTGGGTAGGAGCACAGGGCTCTTGGTTAATTCAAACCCTGCCCATCTACTTCCCAGCTGTGTGTCTTTGAGCAAGTCAACAACTTCCCCAAGCTTCTGTTTCCTTCTCTTTTTGAGTTGAACTGATCAAATGAGATACTGCATATTACGCGCTAGGCGCAGTGCCCTGGATCGTAGTAGGTGCTCAGTAATTGGGAATTGTAAACTATTATGGTTAGTATCATCTTCCTCCTTGGATACTCTGTCTTCGGGGGCTCCCTGGAGAGTGAGGCAATCAGAACACTAAGGTCTTTCTTAATCCTCAACCATGCTTCTCCCAGGCCAGCATTCTGGTGACCACCCGGCCCTCTGCCATCGGCCGCATCCCCAGCAAGTATGTGGGCCGCTATGGCGAGATCTGTGGCTTCTCTGATACCAACCTGCAGAAGCTCTACTTCCAGATCCGCCTCAACCAGCCAGACTGCGTGCACGGTGCTGGGGATGCGGGTGTCTCCACCACGCCGGCTCAGCGTGACAACCTGGTGCAGATGCTCTCCCGGAACCTGGAGGGGCACCACCAGATTGCTGCTGCCTGCTTCCTGCCCTCCTATTGCTGGCTTGTCTGTGCCACATTGCACTTCCTGCATGCCCCCACGCTGGCCGGACAGACCCTCACGAGCATCTACACCAGTTTCCTGCGTCTAAACTTCAGTGGGGAGATGCTGGAAAGCACTGACTCCTCCAAGTTGTCCCTGATGGCCTATGCCGCCCGAACCATGGGCAAGTTGGCCTATGAGGGGGTGTCGTCCCGCAAGACCTACTTCTCAGAGGAGGATGTCCGTGGCTGCCTGGAAGCTGGCATCAAGACGGAAGAGGAGTTTCAGCTAGTGCATGTCTTCCGCCGGGATGCCCTGAGGTTTTTCCTGGCCCCGTGTATCGAGCCAGGGCACCCGGACACCTTCGTGTTCACCGTGCCCGCCATGCAGGAATACCTGGCTGCCCTCTACATTGTGCTGGGTTTGCATAAGACCACTCTGCAGCGGGTGGGCAAGGAAGTGGCCGAGCTCGTGGGCCGTGTCGGGGAGGATGTCAGCTTGGTCCTGGGCATCATGGCCAAACTGCTGCCCCTGCGGGCCCTGCCTCTGCTCTTCAACCTGCTCAAGGTAACGGCCCCCGTGTTCCCCGTTCGCCCCTTGCTCCTCTCCAGGAAGGAAACTGCTGCTTCCCGCATAGCTGTGAATCCTCTACTTGGCTCTGCTTGCAGATTTGGGCAGTCTGACTGTTAGTGGGATCGGGGCAGCAGGAAGGGAGAGAGAGAAGCTGCAGGCTGGGGAAGGCTTGGAGGCTGGGAGGGGAATTGGAGGGCACAGGGACTTTAACAACAATCCTACAACCCTGACAACAGTTTTCTTCTGGCACCTCTCCTCCGGCTCTTGGTTGCTGGGAGGCAGGGGTCACTATAGTCCAGGGTCTGTCCTCTGCTCTGCGGGGCCAGAAACTTGGTTGTCTGCTCCCCCAGAGGTGATTAGACTCCAGGAGTGATGACTCATCCTAACAACATCACCAGAGACAGGTTTATAAAGCAGATGCCATTTTATTCCTTTATGCCGGGAGGATAAATGGCTTTGGTAATTGGTTTAGGACAGTCCATCCGGGGTGCAGGTCTGCTCCAGAGACCAAATTACAGGCCTGAGGACTGTGCTGTGAGCAGGGCGGATGCACTAAGTTTTTGAGGGGAAGAAGGACCCACTCTCTGCTGATGTCTGCAGGGGCCTTGTAAACGGAATACTGTTATCATCCCTTTTATAGATGCGGAAACTGAGCCTCACAGAGGCCACGCCACTTGTCCATGGTCACTCAGATAGTAAGTAGGATAGCTGGGGTCTGAGTCCAGGTTTGTGATTCCGAATTCTGTGCTCTTTCTGCCAAACTTTACTGATGTGTTCTATATATTTCTGTTAAGCTATGATGCCTTGCTAGGTAACCCTGGTCCTTTCTAGGAATGTTTCAGTAACTAGTCCTGAGGAGGCAGAGCCCTGGTCAGTCCTGGCAAAATTTTAACAAGTTTTCCCTTTTTTTTTTTTTAAGAAGTTCTTTCTTTTTTTTTTTTTTTTAAAGATTGGCACCTGGGCTAACAACTGTTGCCAATCTTTTTTTTTTTTTTTCTGCTTTATCTCCCCAAACCCACCCCCATACATAGTTGTATATCTTAGTTGCAGGTCCTTCTAGTTGTGGCATGTAGGATGCCGCCTCAACGTGGCCTGATGAGCGGTGCCATGTCTGCGCCCAGGATCCGAACCCTGGGCCGCCGCAGCAGAGTGTGCGAACTTAACCACTCGGCCACGGAGCCGGCCCCAAGTTTTCCTTTTTTTTTGGTGAGGAAGATTGGCCGTGAGCTAACGGCTGAGCCGGTCTTCCTCTATTTTTGGTATGTGGGACACCACCACAACATGGCTTGATCTGTGCCCAGGATCCAAATCTGCAGTTCCCCAGGCCACTGAAGCATGCAAACTTAACCACTCCCGACAGGGCTGGCCCAAGTTTTCCTTTTCATAGATAGCAAATCATCAGGGTTAAGAATAGAGATTCAGTAGGGCAGCTACCTGGGTTCAAATCCAGGCTCTACCACTGACTAACTGTGTGACCTTGCACAAGTTACTTAACCTCTCTGTGCCTCAAAGTCCTTATCTGTTAAGTGAGGATAATAATATAATATATATCACTGGCCTAATATGAGGATTAATGTATTCATCCTCAGGACCCGGCACATAGTTAGTGCTATTTAATTGTGTGTTAAACATGAAACCAGGCTCAGGCAGCCCACTTCTTCTCACACTGTTGCCTCAGCCAGGACGCTGAGGACCCCACCCCTTTGAGGATGTGCCCGTCTTGCCTGGATCTCAGTGAGAGGCTGCAGTCTCCTGACGGGATTCAGAAAGGCCCTCAGTTGTTTGAGAGTGCACGAGAATGAACACCACACCCACAAGCCCTCTTGGAGGTTGGGTTGCCTAGTAGAGAGCTGGTCCCGTCTGTTCCTCCATGATCCCGTGGATTCAGTTTCTCAGGGTGACATTTTCTCATCCCGTCACCAGACAAATGTCGGGGGAGGGGCGCATAACCTCCACGGCAGGAAGCTCACCTATAAAAAGTGAAAAAGACAAAACTGGACACTAGAGGAGGAGGCACGGAACGACCTTGTGGCCGCTTGCCGGAGGAAAGGGCCCTCCTGCCCTTTCAGAACCACTGCGGGGATGGGAGGTAATGTCGCAGAGCTCCCGTTTCTCCAACAAGTATTGGAGGGCCTGCTGTGTGCCAGGCAATGTGTTAGATTCTGAGGAAAAAGCAATTAACACGATCCCAGGGTTCTGCCCTTTTGGATTGTGCAGTCTGAACACGAGCAGATCAGTGTATAATGAAAAATCACGGTAAGCACCTAGAAAGCAAAGTGCCAGGTGCTGTGACCGTGTGCAAGGGTTGGGGGGACCTTGTTTGGGGGAATAAGGAAAACCTCCCTACAGGAAGGGCATTTAATCTGATCCCTGGAGGATTTGCCAGGAAAAGAACTGGGGGAAAACGCCCCAGGCAGATGGTACCACTTTGAAGGAAGAGAAACCTTGGCACTGTCAAAAAAGTTTAAAAAAGAGAAAAACCAAAAGGGCAAGAGCAGAGTGAGTGAGGGTGAGAGGCCTGTGATGAAGGCACTGTGGTTGGCAGGGGCCAAATCCTTCAGGGCCTGGAAATAGGGGCGACATCAGGCATTGCTGCTGTGATGAGGATGAGGACGTTGAGGATGGTGATGTATTTATAAAAGCTAGCTTGGTACCAAACTGAATACATAAAATATGCTAATTCTTTCCCACCCCTCCCTGGGCTTGAAAATATATGAGGTGTTTGGGAAAAAGAAAGAATTTCCTAATTTCTGGAGTACGTGAGACAAGTGTTGAGAGAAAGGTCAAATTGGGGCCAAATTATGAAAAGTTTTCTATTCCCTGTGGGCAGTAGGGAGCCACAGAAGATGTTGTAGGAGGGGAGTAGTATGATTAGACAAATTGTGCTGCAAGTTCAAGGGAGATCGCGAGGCTGAGGCTGTCAGAGAGAGTGTACCCTCAGCCAAGCTTTGCAGGCTGAACAGGCCCACAGGAGGCTGCAGTGCCCTCCTCCCGCTTCCTTTCCCAGGTGGTTCCTCGAGTGTTTGGGCGTGTGGTGGGTAAGAGCCGAGAGGCGGTGGCCCGGGCCATGGTGCTGGAGATGTTCCGAGAGGAAGACTATTACAACGACGACGTCCTAGACCAGATGGGAGCCAGTATCCTGGGCGTGGAGGGCCCTCGGCGTCACCCAGATGAGCCCCCCGAGGATGAGGTCTTTGAGCTTTTCCCCATTTTCATGGGAGGGCTTCTCTCTGCTCACAACCGGGCCGTGCTGGCTCAGCTTGGCTGCCCCATCAAGAACCTGGATGCCATGGAGAATGCCCAGGCCATCAAGAAGAAGCTGGGCAAGCTGGGCCGGCAGGTGCTGCCCCCCTCAGAGCTCCTTGACCACCTCTTCTTCCACTACGAGTTCCAGAATCAGCGCTTCTCCGCTGAGGTGCTCAGCTCTCTGCGCCAGCTCAACCTGGCGGGTGTGCGCATGACACCCCTCAAGTGCACGGTGGTAGCCTCTGTACTGGGCAGTGGAAGGCATGCCCTGGACGAGGTGAACTTGGCCTCCTGCCAGCTGGACCCTGCCGGGCTGCGCACGTTCATGCCTGTCTTCCTGCGTGCCCGGAAGCTGGGGTGAGGACCCGTCCTCCTGCACAGGCAGGAAAGGAGGAGATGGTTGGAGGTGAAGAGGTGGGAAGAGAAAGTGCTAGGGAAACCAGAGGTACTGAGGAAGGGCCAAGGGGTAGGATGAAGAAGTCTGGTGTGGGTGGAGGTGACAAGGGCAATAGAAGTGAGGGTGGGTGTGAACTGCAGAGGCAGGATGGTGAGGAAGGGGCATGGTGGATGGGCAGGCTCCGTGCTGAACTCCTTCCTGGGTTTCTTACCTCCCCTCTCGCCACCTTCTGCTCCAGCTTGCAACTCAACAGCCTGGGCCCTGAGGCCTGCAGGGACCTTCGAGACCTGCTGCTGCATGACAAATGCCAAATTACCACCTTGCGGTGAGTGTTCTGGGAGGGGGCCCGGAGAGAGGCTCTGGCCATCCTGGTTGCCAGCTAAGTAAAGTCAAGGGTGCTCCCTGTCTCACAATATGCCTGGCACAGGCCCGCCCATGGTGTCGTAAAGGGGGTGGGAGTCTAGACCTTGTCCTGCCCCCCCAGCTCCAGTATCAGCAGCAACCAGGTGGCAGGGAAGATGCCACCAGAAATAGGTGTTAAGAAAGCCCCTCACATGGCTAAAATCAGCCTGGGGGAGCGGGAGAAAAATACCCAGGTCAGTTGCCTGGTAACTGTGCCACCAATCCCCTCCCAGGATTTCCCTGTCGCCTCGCAAGGATGACCCTAACACGGGGCACTCTGTAGATGCTCCCAAAGTGTTGACTGATTTACTAGGAACCCAGATGCCTGGGTTCTCGATTTCTGGTTGGAGAAAGAGGAGGCGGATGAGGAAAGAGACAGGAGAGAGGGTGAGGAGGAGGGGAACTGGGGTCTGGGAGGAGGTGCGATGGGGAAGAGGAAGGCAAGTGGTAAGGATTAAGAAGAAGGGGAGGGGGCGAAGGGGTCAGAAAGGAGACTGAAAAGAGGGGAGAAGCCAGCTTCCACCCACTCTCCCTCCTCTACGCTGCGCCACCCTCATCCCCCTGTTTCTCCGTCCTCTTCTCCTGGGCCTGCAGTTCTCTCTGCCCAGGCTTGTCTCCACCCCAGGCTGTGTGCCCTTTTGGCCCAAGTCCCGATGCCCAGCACAGGGCATCTGCCATGGGCCCTCATAACCTTGGGGTGCTTGTGGCTGTAGGCTGTCCAACAACCCCCTGACGGCAGCAGGTGTGGCCTTTCTGGTAGAGGGGCTGGCAGGGAACACCTCACTGACACACCTGTCCCTGCTGCACACTGGCCTTGGGGACGAGGGCCTGGAGCTGCTGGCTGCCCGGCTGAACTGTAACCGACAGCTGCAGGAGCTGAACGTGGCCTACAATGGCGCTGGCGACGCTGCGGCCCTGGCCCTGGCCAAGGCTGCCCGGGAGCACCCTTCTCTGGAGCTGCTGCAGTAAGTCTCATCCCCGGTCCCATCGCCCCACCCCAGCCTGAGACTCTGTTCCCAGCCCTTCAGTCCTCCTTCCCTCTGTCCACTGTGCTTTTCCTGCCACAGGGGGTGGGCCTGGGCCTGTCCTCTCTTCCTGGCTTCTGTTTGATCCTTGTCGACCTGCTTCTAGGCCAACTCACCCCTCTGTGATCGGCACTTACCCTGCCCTGATATCCTACCACCATTCCTCCTGGGGTCCTGGTGGCCCCATTCCTGCTGTCCCTGGCCCCACTGAATCCTAGGAACCCCTGCCTTCCTCTGGCCACCGCCCTTCCTCTCTGACTTGTTGCAGACACTCACCCCATGGCCTTCTGCAGCCAGGGGATGAGTTGTGAGATGCCCTCGCTCTCTGTCTACCCCTCCCTGGCCCTCCTTCTCAGAGCCTTGCTGAGTGACATCTATTCTTCTCTCTCCTGCTAGCCTCTACTTCAATGAGCTGAGCCCAGAGGGCCGCCAGGTCCTGCGGGACTTGGGGGGCACTGCTGAAGGTGGTGCCCGGGTCGTGGTGTCACTGACGGAGGGGACAGCAGTGTCTGAGTACTGGTCAGTGATCCTCAGTGAAGTCCAGCGGAACCTCAAGAGCTGGGATCAGGGCCGGGTCCGGCGCCACCTTGAGCTGCTGCTGCGGGATCTGGATGATAACCAAGGAGCCACCCTAAATCCTTTGCGCAAGGCCCAGCTGCTTCGAGTGAAAGGCGAGGTCAGGGCCCTTCTGGAGCAGCTGGGAGGCTCCGAAAGCTGAGACAGTGGCAGCAGGCACCTAGCTGTGTGACCCCCAGCCCAAGCCCCTTCTCTCTGTGGCCTCCTGGCTTGCACTACTACTTCTAGAAAGATCCCTTTAGGGGTAGAGGCAAAGGAATGGGCACAACTGTGCCAGTTGCCCTCCTGGGGCATATCCAACCAGTGCTCCTAAGCCTGGAATTTCTAGGGTCGTGGAACATGATACCTCCTCTCCTTTCAGCTAGAAGGACCACAAGATGTGGCATTTTGGTGGCCAAATTGCCCTATAGTGCCACCACCAACCTCACCTCTCTCTCCTCTCAAGGAGCCTCTGATTGTGCCAGCAGGAGGCACACTTCCTATGTCTGCCTTGCCAGGGGTGTTGACATCCAGATGTGCTGGAGGGCCTCCACCTCCTGCTGTTAGGCTTTCTGTGGACACTGAGGGTGCCCACAGCCACTTTCCTCATTGGTGCTTTCTCCTCCCCCTCACGCCACCTTGATCACAACGGTATCTTTGCTCGGTTGCCTCCGGGGACATGTGCACTGACTTGCTGCTATTAAAAAAATGTGTGTCTTCCACCTACTGTGGCCTCTTCCTTGCTTGGTGGTTTCAAGGAAGGGCACTGTTCTTGGTTATTCGGGTTGAAGTACTGACCACTGTCTATTGCAAGTGGTTCCTGGACACTAGGTTCAGAGGCCGTGAGTGCTGGGTGGTTGGACAAGAACAAAATATTGAGGTAGGGGGGAGGCCATGCTGGGCCATGGGGCTCCTATGACCCTTTTCATATATACTTATCCCAGGCTTGGAATTACAGTGACCAGCAACCTACCTTTCTCTGCACAGCGAGGGAGCTGGGACAGCCGCAGGGTCTCTGGATAAAGTTGGGGCCCAGGAACGGGGGCGGGAGGAACACATACACTTCCCCAGAGGATAAGACTCTCTCTCCCCCGTTAACCATTACCCCACTGCTTCCAAGGCAGTGTCTTCGAGGAGGCGGGACGTGGGGAGGTAGGTGGGAGGGTCATCTGGTTTCAATGGACCTTGTCCCTACCTGGAGCACTGGGTGGTTGCTTCAACTATGGAGGCAGCTGCAGGTAGGAGGCGGGGAGAACTCCTCCGGAGGGGATATCAGGGCTGTCAGGGGGCAGATTGGGAGGCTGAGGCTGTGGGTCCAGGCCATGCTTGATGTTGGGGCTTGGAGCCCCTGGCAAATAGACTGGCAGTTAGGAAGAGGTGAGTGGACAAATCTGTCTTCCTGGTCCACGCCCTGTACTGATATGCTCAGATTTCTGTGCCAAGGACTGGAGGGAAGGGGAAGGGAGGAGAAGGGAAGACCCTTTTGGAGCAGAACAGAGCAGGCAAGACCTGAGTTTGGGGGTTCCCTTAAGTCCTTTCATAACCGTGGGAGAAGAGTCTAGGGGCTAGAAGGCGCCTCTCCTCCCCACACCCTTTCTCTGCCCAGCAGATCTTAAGGACACAGCCTCATTAACTCTGTAAGTGCCATGCTGTGACGCGTTGGGGAGTGGGGGAGGGAATCAAAGGTGGGGAGCTCTTCAGTTGGCATTAGCACGTCAAGTAGAGCCTAAGATCCAAGTCCAGATGGCAGCTTTCTCCTGCCTACATCCCTTGCCTCTTTGCAGGAAGTTTGAGTTTAACCCAAAGCTGGGCATTGATAATCCCGTCCTCTCCCTGGCAGAAGACCACGACCCCTCTGGTAATCCCCTTGCCCCCTGGGCAACCATTCTCTTTCCCCAGAGACACTAGCGCTCCACACAGCCTCCCATCTCCTTGGTAACCACTCACTCGGTCTCACTCTGATGACAGCCTTGGTGGGGAGTAGCTACGTGGGCGGAGGAGGGGGCGGGGCATTTCCTTCTGTCCCAGCCACTCCGTTCAAGTGATGTTCAGCTCCGCGGCTCAACACCTAACCGGGTAGAAAGCCCGCCTGGTGCCCTATCACGGGGGCAGGCTCTGCCAGGCACAAGGTGGCTAGTACTTGGGTCACATCCCTTCTCCTCTCCCTTTTCTGCCGCCCACCTCCCCCTCCAGAACTCTGGAGTCTGGAGCGGCCTCGTTTCTGTCTGCTGAGCAAGGAGAAGGGCAGAACTTTTGGCTTCCACCTGCAGCAGGAGCTGGGCAGGGCTGGGCATGTGGTGAGCATGGTGGAGCCAGGCACCTCTGCCCAGCGCCAGGGTCTTCGGGCAGGAGACCGGATCCTAGGGGTGAACAACCATGTCGTGGAACGTGAAGACCATGCAGTGGTGAGGTTGGGCTGGGACTCCCTGTGGTACAGGAGAATGTTCCATAGTACCTCAAGGAGAGAAAAGCTGGTTGGTCACCTCCCTGGGTATATGGGGGCAGGACCCAAGCCTCAATTTCCCCCACCTGCCAGAATTTAGGGGTGCCCAGGCCAGAACAGTTGGGTGAAGGCATCCAGAAAGGTGGTTCCCATGGTGGAAAATGTAGGTTCCAGGGAGGGGGAGTTGGCAAGAGGGGCCAGCCGCACCCTCACCCCGTGTGCCCTCTGCTTAGGTGGTACGCCGCATCCAGGCCAGTGGTCCTCGGGTGTTGCTGACGGTTTTGGCGCAGCATGTGCATGATGTGGCCCGAGCTCAACAGGGAGACGATGCCTGCCTCTGTCCTACTCTTGGCCCGGGGGTCCGGCCCCGGCTATGCCACATAGTGAAAGATGAGGGTGGCTTTGGCTTCAGTATCACCCAGGGTGAGCTTAGAGGCTCGGGAGGGAGGTCAGGATGGGGATCTCAGTCCCGTTCCAGGCAGGCAGCAGACTGAAACTTGCTTTTTTTTTTGGCTTCCAGGACATCGGGGGCCTTTCTGGTTGGTGCTGACTACTGGAGGAGCAGCTGAGCGGGCAGGGGTGCCCCCTGGGGCCCGACTGCTAGAAGTGAATGGGGTCAGTGTGGAGAAGTTCACTCATAACCAGCTAAGGAGGAAGGTATGGCTGCCTGCTTCCCCGCTCATCCTCCACCCATCTGGGCCTGGGGCCCCTGCCTCCGCAAGCAGACTCCCACCCCACGCACCTCTTCCCCTGATCTGATCTTGTACCCCCGTCACAACCATCCTTCCCTTTACAGCTTGTGCTAGGCCCTTCTCTTCCTTCCCCTCCCCAGTGCCTCAGGCCTGGGTCTGGGAATATGAGGCGCTGTGAGGAGATGCTGCTTCTGCCCTCCCTACCCAGGTGGTTGAGCTGATGCTATGCTGGTCCCCCACAGCTTCGGCAGAGTGGAGAGCAGGTGACCCTGCTGGTGGCAGGCCCAGAGGTGGAGGAAAAATGTCGCCAGCTGGGAATGCCTCTGGCTGCACCCCTGGCAGAGGGCTGGGCACTGCCCACCAAGCCCCGCTGTCTGCACATAGAGAAAGGGCCCCAGGGCTTTGGGTTCCTGCTCCGAGAGGAAAAGGGCCTTGATGGTCACCTTGGTGAGTGGGGCCCTGGGGGTGGGTAGGGAAAGTGGGCCTTGGGGTGGGCACACGAGTGTATACATACGCCTCTCAGTATGAGTGGTGTCCCTGTCTGAGCCCCAGCCCTGGGCCTCCGCCTCCGGGTACTCCCTGGTCAGTCCCCCAATGTGCACATGGTGGCCTGGGCTGGCACTGGGGGTAAGTAGGGAGGAGCAGTGAAGATGTCTATGTCCCAGGGCAGTTCCTGTGGGAGGTGGACCCAGGACTGCCAGCCGAGAAGGCCGGGATGCAGGCTGGGGACCGGCTGGTGGCTGTGGCTGGGGAGAGCGTGGAAGGGCTGGGCCATGAGGAGACAGTGTCCAGGATCCGGGCGCAGGGCTCCTGTGTCTTCCTCACTGTCGTCGACCCTGAGGCTGACCGCTTCTTCAGCATGGTGCGAGCTGAGGGGCAGGGGCTAGGGTGGGGGAGGAATGGAGCAGGGCTCAGGTGGAAGGGGAAGCAACAGTTTTGTCCCATCTGCCTCCTTCCAGGTTCGCTTGTCCCCACTCCTCTTCTTGGAAAGCACAGAGACTTCTGCGTCTCCCCAGGACACCTGCTCAGCCTCTCTGGTTGAGACCAAGAACCCACCAGTTGAAGACATAGCCATGCCTCCAGACTCATGTGGCTCCCGCCAGTGCTTCCTGTACCCTGGGCCTGGTGGTGGCTATGGCTTCCGACTCAGCTGTGTAGCCAGTGGGCCTTGTGTCTTCATCTCCCAGGTGATGGATGCCCCATGGGTCTTAGATCCTTTCCATCATTTGCCTCCTGATGAGCCTTCCTCTGTTTCCCTCCCAGAGCCTTGGAGTGCCCAGCAAACTTTTCCATGATGTTCCATGTTCTGTATCCCCCTCTACACCACCAGGTGACCCTAGGAAGCTCAGCTGCCCGGGCAGGGCTGCAAATGGGAGATGTGATTCTAGAGGTGAACGGGTTTCCTTTGGGTGGAGAGAATGACCTGGAAAGGCTTCAGCAGCTGGCTGAGGCTGAGCCACCCCTGTGCCTGAAGCTGGCAGCCAGATCTTGGCAGGGCTTGGAAGCCTGGAATCCCCAGGGTCTGGAGAGGTGAGGAAGAAGAGACAGACGGACTGTGAGCAGCCAGAGAAGGACAGTGGGGAGCCAGAAAGGACAGCAAAGCGGGAGAGCTGTGGGTGAAGCAGTGCGGGGCATGCAGGTTGAGACTTTAGGTCATGGTAGGTGGGGGCAGAAGGACCCAGGGAACAAGCCCCATTCCTGGGCATTCCATTGCAGGTCGGGGCAGGAAAAAGAAACTTTTCCTGTCCCTAAATGACCTTTTCCCTTCCCTCTCTACTTAGGACTGGGCTCTAGCCTCAGATCTGCTGTGGTGCTCCTCTGGTTGGCATAGACCTACCAAGTGACTTTCCTGTCTTAAATCTCCAGCCGGAGGTAGTAGGATTGGAGCTGCTCTCTTAAGCCAGAAAGTGGAGCTCTGGGACTCTGGACACCTCCAATCACAGGATTGCCCAGGGTCTCCCTCCCTTCCCATGGGCCCACCATCCAGAAGAAGGTGTGTCAGAGGCCCCAGGCAGGCCCACTAGGGAGCCTGCCCTGTGACTCCAGAGGAATCATGTGGGAGCTTTGGGAGTTGTGCCCCAAGGATGAAGTTCTGCCTGAGACTAGTGGTGTGATTTTGTGATTTATAATAAGAAATACATATTTGGTCTTCATCTCCTTTCCTGGCACAAAGGTCCTAAAACCCTTGGAATTTCCTAAGTAATAAGAGCAATACAAGTGTCTTCTGTTATTTATAACAAGCCCCTTTCAACGACACCTAGTTTTGTTAATGAGGTGACTGTTGGAAAGCACCTAAGGATAGGGAACTGGTTGCCAGGGAAATGAGCCATGTGATTGGAAGGTTGGAACTTCCAGCCTTACCCCCACCCCCACGCCACCCTTGACCTCCTGGGAGTGATCACCAATGACCAATGGTTTAATCAATCATGGCTATGTAATGAAGTCTCCATAAAAACCAAAAGGACGAGGTTCAGAGAGCTTCGAGGTTGCTGAACACGTGGAGGTGCTGGGAGGGTAGTGTGCCCAGAGAGGGCGTGGAGTTCCCATGCCTGTACCTTGTCTAGGCATCTCTTCCATCTGGCTGTTCCTGATTTGCATCCTTTCTAATAAACTGGTAATCCAGTAAGTAAACTGTTTCTCTGAATTCTGTGAACCCCTCTAGCAAATGATTAAATCTGAGGAGGGGGCTGTGGGAACCTCTGGCTTATAGCCAGTGGTCAGAAGCACAGGTGACAACCTGGACTTGAGATTGGCATCTGAAGTGGGGGCAGTCTTGTGGGACTGGGCCCTTAACCTGTGGGATCTCTAGGTGGATAGTGTCAGAATTGAGTTAAATTGTAGGACACCCAGCTGGTGTCCACAGAAGAGTTGGAGAATTGCTCTGTGTGGGAAAATCCCCCACACATTTGGTGACCAGAAGTAAAGTAGTCCTGAGAGTGTCGTGGAAGAATACAGAGGAGAAGCTCAGGGTCTCCCTTTCAGGTGGGCTGGGCTAGGGGTGAAGCCATCTGGCACTTGCCCTAGGCACGGCTCCAGGACTCTTGGATATATGTCAAGAATTTGGAGACCAGTCACACCTTCCCTCTGTGGGCACCTTGGGTTATGGGGGCTGGTGCCTGGACACTGTTGCTCTATTATAGAATGGCCTTTCCCCACAAATCTGGCTGCCTGTGTTTGTGTGGGTGGGGATGGGGGTGATGGTTTGAAGGAACCAAAAGGGCCCCAAGCTCAAGGAGTGGGACCCAGTTTCTCTAGGACAAAGGTTGAGACCTTGTCAAATTTCTCTCCCATCATTCAGTCTTCTGGGCAATGTGTCAGCCAGTACTGAGAAGTCCCCGTGAAAGGCACTCATCTCTGCCGAAAAGCCATAGCCCACAGTTCTGCCGAGTTCTACATCAAGAGAGCTTTATTGCTGGCCTCAGAGAGCCCCAGAGACTAGAGGCTTGCAGCCTCAAAGATCCAGGGGGTTGAGTCCAAACTGGCGGAGCTGCTCCTTGTGCCTGGCGTGGAGTCTCAGCACATCCTTGTCCCACTGAGGCTTGACAGCTCTCAATTTGGCCAAGAGCCCATCCAGGCTGCCCTGCAGATACCAAGCTTCAGGCCCCAGGGAGGGAGGGGGCAGGGTGAGGGGGTGCCGAGGCTGGTCTGTAAGCTTTCCTTGCCAATGTTTTGTTAACGTTCCTATTCTTAGTAGGTAGGCATGGTTGTAGCCCCTTGCTGTCTGCCCTCAAGATAGAGCAGAGTTCCCTGTGGAGATGCTTCTCCTTCTTCCTGGTCTGTCATTATCTCACTAGCTGGGGTTCGTGGGGATTGAGGAGTGCTGGGTACTGGGATGGCTGGGTTTCAGAGGGGGGTGCTTACATGTAAGATTTCCTCATACTTGGCCTCCATGTCTGCCACATGGGCCCGAAGCTGAGCCAGAGTCTGGTCTCGCTCTCCGAGGACCTCCTCGGCCTCTCTCCTTGCAGCCTCAGCCTCCTTCTGGCACATCTCTGGGGGGTGGGGCAGAAGGATGAAAGAGGACAGGATGGTGACACTCTACCTTTGGATTGTCTCACAAAGTACCCCCAAAGTAGAACTTGAGTGGGATCATTCCAGACTCTCCCAGGGTCATCGACTTTCCCATACTCACTATAAAGAGCTGAAGTATACCATTAAGGTATAGTAGAGAGAGTAGTGGGTTTGGTACAAGAGATCTAGATCCCAAATCTGGTTGTCACTTACTACTTGTGTAACATCGGGCATGTCTCTCTCTGAGCCTCAGTTTCTTCATCTTTAAAGAGAGAATGACAACTACCTCACAGGCTTGCTGTGAGAGTTAAGTGTGATTATGGGAAAGCACGTAATATATAAGAGGTGCTCAATAAATTTTGATTGCATTTAAATGTGAGATGAGGCAAAGATTAGGAAAGGAACTCAGGATCTGCATGGCAGATAAGCAACTCTTGGATGTGTATAGCTAACCTAAAGCTATTTTAGGATAAGAAAGCTTTGAGGCCAAAACTGTGAAAAGTCTTGTGTGCCATGCTAAAATATTTCAACTCTATCCTGTAACCAAGAGGGAAGAGAGCAAAAACTTCCTGTTCTTTATATTTTCGCTTGTTTTGAAGGTTTATTCATTTATTCAGCAAAGTTACTCAGGATCTACCACGCACTGGGCCTTGAAGATATGGAAGTATATAAGTCAAACATTTTCCCTTAGTTTCACGTAAAATCAGCTGTACTAAGATGGGGTATGTTTTGCTCATGAGAGACATGGCAGTAGTGGTGAGTAACGACTGGATTTGGAGAGACCATTGAGATGGGGAAATGCAGTGAGAGACTTACGTCTTCTTTACTTATAACTTAAGATTTTTTGCCATCCTGAACCCTCTGCTCCAGTACTCAGTGGTAGGAGAGCCAGTGGAGAACGTGTTATGAGAGCCTGGGTTGTAGTCTTCTAGACAAGAACCATCGTAAGTCCACCCCTTCAGGCTCTGGACCTCATCAGTGGTCCTCTAGGAGAAAGGCTTAGAAGGTGGGAAGCCTACCTAGCTGTTCCCGAAGGCCCCTCACTTCTTCCTCCAGCCGCCTGCTGCGGGTCTCCATCTCCTCCTGCAGGGCCCGGCACTGACGGCTCATCTCTGTGTCACGGGCAGTGTGTGGCCAGGGACAAGGTGGGGATAGAGTGGTGGAGAAAGGCAAGGGAGTTGTCAGTGGGGAGGGCTCTGCTTCGTCGAGTGGGACAGGAGCATAAAGGCCTTCTTTGTTTTTCTTGCGGCGATTTAAAGAAGCTGGGAGACCCTGAAAACCTGGGGAAGAGCTCGGAAACCAGACCCCTTTCGTCCATGCCTTCTCCTTACTCACTCCCACAGGATGAAGAAGATAATGGCTTTGACTGCATTTTGTAACCCACAAAGCATCGAGCACATGGTATCCCTGCCCAGGATCCCAGAGGCCTTCCTTTGGTTCCTTCAGGATCCTGCCTGATTTGTGCTGTGCTGGGAAGGCTGAGACTGGACATGGCAGATGGAAGTCCTCCTCATCTCCCTCCCTTGCTTCCTTAGGCCCCCTTGGTTGTCTTCTTCCAGGCCTCTGTCTCTTGCCCACCTGCTCAACCGAACACGCACCTGCATATATGGCCTTCCCTTCACTTCGGGCCCCCTCCAGTTCAGCCTCCAGCCCTTGCAACCTCTGCTTCAGCTGGTTTTCAGAAGCCTTGGCTCGGCGGGCCTCATCCCTCCACAGAGCTGTGAACAGTCCCAGAGCAGCCCTTAGGACTGGCTGAGGACCCCATTGAATCAGCTCCCATGGGCTTGATGGACTCTGCCCACCTCTGGAAACTTGGTGGCAGGCCTCTAGCCTTTCATTCTCATTCTGGGTTTTTTTCCCCTAGGATCCCATAGGCTTTTCATTACTAAGAAGCAAAAACTCCCTCTGTGTTCTGGCTATAAAAAATAGCTACCCTTATCAACCCTCACTGCCCATCCCTTCCTCATAATCCCAACTTATGACAAATCTTTTTCCACTAGGGGATGGTTAGAGGTCAGCTCAGCCCCCCACCATAGCTCCAACCCTCCAAGTCCCCAAGGATACAGCAATGCTCATTGCCCCACTTCTATTGCCCCCAGAACTTCCGCCCTTCTTACCCAAATGGTCTTGGAGCAACTCTTTTTCCAGCACTGCCAGCCTGTGCATGGATTCGGCCTCCACACCTGCCCTGGCAAGTTGGCAGAACCTCAGCTTATCACGATCTCAGCCTTCCTTACTCCCCTCTCATCCTCATCCCATACTTGGACTTTCTTCCTGCAGATCTGAGGGCCACTAAATGAAGGATCTCTGATGGCAGAGTCTACTGAATTCACCACTGTGTCCTCACTGCCCAGCACATAGTAGGTACTCAAAATATGTGTGATGAGTATACAAGGAAGGCATAAAGCCAGAAGGGACTCAAGGGAGGGGGAAGGTGCCGATTTCCCCACCTTCCCAGCTCCGTGGAACCTGGATGTGAGGCTATGAAGGGGGAGGGCCAAGAAAGCTCCATGCTGACATGCAGAGTGCTGAGTTCTCTCTGGAGGACCTCTGCTTGGTCTCTGAGCCAGAGCACGGAGAAGTAGGGGGTGCCTACCTCCACCCACCCTGACTCACCGGCACCTGCATTCTTTTTCTTCTTCTGTGACCCAGCTTTCACCCCTTTTTCTTTGGTCTTAGGTGGCATCTCCTTGCTGTCCTGGAGGAGGGAAGGAACTCATATTTAGGTCTGTACGTGGGGATGCTTTCCTGACCCCCAGACTGAACTAGGAGTCCCAGGAGAGTTAGAGTTCTAGTCTCCAAGCCTGTCTCCCATACTTTCCAGAAGCTTCTGTGCTTGGTCTCCTTGGAAGTTTAGGCAGGGCTGGGGTCAGTGGGGAGGGTGGAGCTGTTTCTCTCTACCAGTCAGGCTCTATGTACAGAAACCATTCCCCTCAATCCTCTTTTGGAGAAAATAAATCTCAGTACCTGGTTCCTTCCCTCTTCCCATCATCGTTACCCTGCCTCTTCCAATCTGTAGTACCCTCTCTTGCCTGTGTTGTACCTTCCTGGAGAGTGACCCAGCCACGGGCAGGGGCAGAGAAAAGATCCAACCAGCCAGGAGCCTGAGGAGGAAACTGGGTTCTGGGAGCCAATCGAGTGTGGCAAATTTCCGTGGGGGGCAGGACTGAGAACTGGAAGGCTGGGTTTCCAGAGACTGCATGTTGTCCAGGCAACTGGGAAACATGGAGTTCACAGGAAGGTAGAATGGGCTAAATACAAAGCTTCAAATACCGAGGTCCCAGAAGGTCAATTCTCTTCTTATCCCAAAATCCTAAGTGTAGTTTGAGGAGAAAGGGCTTTGGAGCCAATTAGCTGTGATTCACTTCCATGTAGCACTGCCTGCAATTTGGAGACATATAAATCAGATCTACACATCTGAAATAATGCCATTGTGCTGATGCAGAGGAAGAGGACTGACGGCAGCCATTTTGGGCAATTTACATTCCTAGGTCTCATCAGCAAAATGACACTATTAGGCTTAAAACTGGAGATCCCCATCCAGAAGGCACTCTATGGTGTACGGGGGAAAGAAATGCAGGAGAAGGTAGTCGATAGAGTTTCCCACTTCAGAGACACACAGGAAAGGTAGACTCACGGACTCCAGGATGCCAACGTAGAGGGATGCAAATAGAGAAGAAGGGGCACTGGTTAGAGACAAGAGCCATGAGTTCTAGTCCCCATGTGGATATGTAAATTTGGGCAAGCCATTTAACTTCGCTCAGCCTCAGTTCCCTGGTCTTTAAATCTTTAATTTTGTAAATCCTGAAAGGCCTGGGTTTTAACCAGGCATTTGCAGGGCTATCTTCTCTCACTGTGACTGAATTTATCGCCTCTCTTCCCCTCTTCCCTTATGTGGTTGATTTTCCCATAGGTGCTGAGAAACTACTTTGCTTGGCTCCTGGCAGTATTGCGTTGGTTGGGGCTCCCTCTAGTGGACGTGTTTGACCTTCTCCGGAATCTCCTAAATTTTTCTATTTAAATTATTTATTGGGCAATGTTGAGGGTGCCTTCCTCTTGGGAATACTTCCTAGCATCTTGGTGGAGTCATGAGTGGTTGGAAAAGTAAATTTTAGGAAGGGAGCATGACGGGTGGCTTGCTGTAGTATGGGGAGCCTTGTCATCTGTCTGCCACCTGGATCTCTGGGAACCCTACTGGCTAGAATGAAAACAGCAAAAACGTCAGGGCTGTTCCCTTTATGCATTAAGGGAACTTCAGGCTCTTTTTTAGATATTTCTCTCTGTTTCTGTCCCCCTCAACATTTTCAGTCAGTTGGCTGTTCACAGGAGGAGATCTGAAGAAATAGCCATGAGATTAGGGAATAAAAAAATCCTTTCGCTGGGGAGTAGGCAGATTCATGCAGAAGCTGATTCATGTTTATTTGTCACCTTCGTGGCCACAGGCTACTTTTCTGACCCTTTGGACATTTTACAGATTAAAGAGAAGAAGCACGCTTGTCCTTCCAGATGCTTACAGTTCCAGCACCTGAGGGTCAGATGACCTTGTGCACATCTCCCAAATCTGGAGAATACTTTTCTTCTAATCTTGAAGCATGTTTTTCATTTATCCTTCCCCCAGAAGCCTCTCCCCCGTCTAGGAACACAGTAGAGGTTTCTGCTCACCCAGTCCTTCTCCTCATCTAGAAGCCTGTTTGGGGACATTTTCCATGGAATGATTTGTGTCTCCATCATGCTAATGCATGAAATGACATATTGAGGACAAAATACACACAACATATCATGCCTCAGGAGAGCATTTACTTTTCGAATATGTTCAGTCAACTGACTTTCAGGTGCAGAATGAGGATGTGGTTTGGGGTGAAGGTGAAATGGAATAAGAAGGGCGCCACATGTCACATGATGTGATACAAGCTGCGCCAGTTTAGAATAACCCAAGAATGAGAATGACGCTGTGATCAACAATCCAACCCCCTTGCTAGTAGATTTTGAAAATGAGCCAAGTAAAAATTGTGGAAAAAAGGGTCAATCTTTCCTTCTTTTTTCGTTAACCTCAGTTTAGAAGTGAAACTAGGAAAGGTCATTTCAGCAGAACTCTGTCTTCCTTTGAATTGGATGCCATCTGGGAGTTTTGAAGAGATGTAGAGAGAAGGGTCACTCTGCTTTATTCAAATGTGAGAGACAGGTCATCGTATATTGAAGGAAACACGGCTTACTGTGGGAGAAACACAGTGCAAATTATACAATTCCATTCTATACAGACTCTATTGAAGATAATACAGATTGGAAGCCTTAAACCAAGCCGGAGTTGTGTAGATGATCTAGATAAGCTCATACACAGCTCCAAGAGTTAATTTCTCACCTTACTCCATTAAATCTAGAATTTCACTATAAGGGAAAAAAACACTACCCTTGTATACCTATACTGTACTAGGTACTGTGGGAGACCAAAGTCGATTACACAGTATAGGATAAATTCATGCGTGGTAGGTGTGAGAAATAAATAGTTATGGAAATTTAGAGGAGGGAAGAATTATTTCTCTCTGGAGTGTCTAGTAAGGAGGACAATATCTGAGTTGAATTTCGAACAATGGATCGGACCTTAGTGCACACTTTAGGCAGAGGGAATGCTCTGAGTAATGGTGATGAAAAAAGAAAGAATTGTGGTATTTTGTGACTTGGTGAGTTACCCAGCATGGGATATATGTATACGGTGTAAAATTGCAAGGTAGTTTGGAGTTAGATCGTGACCATTAACTTCATTCAGGAGTAATGGGGAATGTTTAGAGTTTTTTTGCAATGCTGTCGGAACTATACTTTAGGAAGACTAGTGTGGTGGGAGGATGGATTGAGGGCTGCAGGAAAACCAGTGAGGACAAGGTTTCAATGGACCAGGGGAGAGAAAAGGAGCGCCTGCAACCAGTAGTGCTGGTACTAGGGATGTAAAGTTTTGACAATAACCTAAGAGCTTTGCCTAGATTTTTCCTTGGGAGATTCTTCTAACTCTTTCTAGATAGAAACTAATTAAAGGAAATTCTACTGATAGGAAATGATAATGTTGACTCCATAATCAATCTTAGATAAAGGCCATTGAATTGCAAGACAAGGATGTTGGGCTGAAGGGTCCTTGAGTTCAGGGATACTTTTTCCCCCCTTACTTGATACTTGATAAGCTTAATTCTCTAATCAGTCAAGGGCTCGGCGCAAGAGTGGGGGGGGGGGGGGGGTGGGGATCTAAGGCGGAACCGAGTACTTATTGACACACCAGGACCTGCAAGCTCCCAAAGCCGAGGCTCAGAATTAGCAAATTAGGGCAGGGCACTTCCTTCTTTGGAAGGGAGTTCCTTTTTTTCAAAGTTCTTCCAACAGAATTTTTAGATTAGAGAAGTGGTAGTGACAAGGAACTGCATTTCTGTTCCATGAGAGGAGCGAGACCTCTGGCCGGGGCTCGCAGCTGTCTTACAGTTTCTGTGGTCAGGGCCTGATGCTGGCGGTGCCGACCTGCAGTGCAATGCGCTGAGCAGTGGAATCTTAAGTACATATTCAATTCCCAGAAAAGAAACTAGCGTTCAGAAGCCAAAAAAGGGGGAAGTGTCTTGTTTTCAGAAGGTCAGAGGGCCTGGAAGAAGAGCTCGCGGCCTGAGTGTCTCAAGCCTTTCTGGGGTCTAGTCAAGCTTGAACAATCCGTAGCATTCACATTCCTGTCCTTGGTCCCGACTTCATGAGGAGTTTAAAAACACCAGTGGGTGGGGAAATAACTTCCCTTTTTCTCCCACAGTGTGAAGAAGCAAGTAACTTTAAGCTCAATTTCCTCATTTGTCATGAATGGGAGAAAGAACAGACGTTAAGATTCTTTCTATGGCTACCTGTCTTAATTTAAATATTCCAATAACCCGCTCAAGGAGAGCCAATTTACAGCCCAGAAGGAACATGGAGGGCTCAGCTTCTTCCTGCCTAGTGCGCAGACTCCACATTAGACCCCCGCCTCCCTCCGTTCCCCGCTTCTCCAGCAGAGGGCGCAGGCGCGAAGGGTCCCTCTGGCCCCGCCCCAGGTGTAGGGGGCGGGGGAGGCGGCGCGGAAACTTGGCCGCCGCATTACCGGAGCTGCTGGCTCGGGAGCGGCTGGCTCAGGAGGGGTCGCTACCTAGGCCAGACGAGGCCGCCCGCTTCCCCGAGCTCCTTGCGCTTCTCCCGCCCCCGGCCTCGCTCTCTCTGAAGGGGTGCGCCCGCGCGGCTCCGCGCTCCGGCGCCGCCCACTTCCCTCCCCGCGGCCGCTCCTCCCTCCGCCCGGACAGCCGGCGGCGGCGGCGGCGGCGGCGGTGGCGGCGGCCGGGAGAGGCCCCTCCTTCACGCCTCCTTCTTCCCCTCGCTCCGAGCCGGCAGACGCGGCTGGGCCCCCAACCCTCCCTGGGCCATGGCCGGCAACGTGAAAAAGGGCTCTGGGGCCGGGGGCAGCGGCGGCACCGGGGGCTCGGGCGGCCTGATCGGGCTCATGAAGGACGCCTTCCAGCCGCACCACCACCACCACCACCACCTCAGTCCCCACCCGCCGGGGACCGTGGACAAGAAGATGGTGGAGAAGTGCTGGAAGCTCATGGACAAGGTGAAAGGCCCACCGAGAACCCGCGGCTGCAGGGGTGGGCGTGGGCGGAGGGGCTGAAGGAGGGGAAGGAAGGGACAGAGGAAGCTGGGGGAGGGGAAGGGTCATGCGAGGCTGGGGAGGCGAGGAGCTGGGGTGACGGGGCCGAGGGGTGGGGGCTGTGGGGGTGGGGAAGAGTCTGGGAAGGTGGGAGCCGGCGGTGGGGGAAGGGCTGCGGTTGGGATTGGGGGGACGTGAGGTGGCGTGTTTGGGGTAGCGAGACAAAGATGGGGTGGGGGCTGGGGTGAAGGTTAACTGGGAAGCCACCGGGGCGGAAGTGTAATGGGGGTGCTGAGTGTGGGGCTCGGTGCAGGGTATAGGGATGTGGGTCACGGAATTGGCCCCGGAAGATAGGAGGGGTTGGGGTGAGGAAGAGTGTTTGATTCACCGGCTGGGGCTGTTCTCTGGCTGGGGAGTCGGGCTCTGACCAGGGAATTACATTTAGGGGCCGTGATTGAGAGACCTGGGGTCAGGACAACTCCGCTGGCAAACTGCGCTCCGGGTGAGCGTCTAGTTTTTCTTGTTAAAGATGTAACACCAAGATAAAAGACATCGGGATGTTTAAATGGCCGAGAAAAGAACTTTCCTCCGCATCTTGCGCTGGCTCAAGTTTTTATCATCCAAAACATTGGATGTGATCCATTGCTGGTGCTGAGATGTGCACTGATTCAACCACAAGTTCTGGTTAGAACCATTATCTTCTGAAAGATGTATTGACTTGAGTATGCTAAGAAGCAGATTCTGGCTTCTTCCAGAACTTCCTCCTCGCACACACTGCTTTTAGCCGGGTTCTTTTTTTGGGAGGGACCTGACTCCTTTATTACAGGACCTGACTTTAAGCTTGTTCCATGAGCTGCTTTGATTGTCTTTTTTTAAGCATGTGTGAAAAACAAGGCCTTTCTATTTAGCCACTTTAAGTTTGGCATTTGGGAGAATTTTATTTCCTTATAGTTGTGTCTATATAATGAAATATAGTAGTTAGTCCCAAGTACTTGAAAGTGTTTAAGTAGTCTAATGATTTGTCCCAGAGAATTCAATGTTTCCTTGATATTTTTCACATTAATTAATAACTTATTTTTGCAAAATTCACACTGCAGATGAAAAGTGATTAGAAGGATCTGGCATATTGTAAGAGAATGGTGTTTTTCTTCCTGCAGAGTAAAATTGGTTTTCTTTGGTTCCTCTCTGGGCCTAGGTTCCTCTTCTGTAAAATTCTTCATGGATTGTTTTGGATTAGAAACAGCTAATAAAAATTATTATGAAGCACTTGGCAAATATAAATGTGCTGTATAAATGCTTAATAAGTCCTGTGTGTGAGTTAACACGCCTGTAGTGCGAAGCAGTGGTTTCCCAGCCGCCTTTTTCAGGGCCACTTTTTCTCATGTTAAATAATTGGTATTGTAAGTATGATGTAAGTGTTTGTATGTTGATTATGTTGGTATTGTAATGCCAGTTTCATTATTAGAAATTGTGATAAAACCGTTACAGAAAGTTAAGCGTGTAAAGGAAACTTTAAATGAATTGACATCTTTTTAAAAAAAATATTGAATGTATTCAAAATCTGAAGTTTGTAGATTTGCATTTTAGGGATTTACAGTTATGGACTAAAAAGGTTCTTCCGGAATAGAAAAAGTACTTGCATTTCTTATAAGTTTCTCATATAAGACGTGTGTGCAGTGTTATCAAATTGTATTGATTAGAGACTTCTCCTTAAAAAAATAAAAAACTATCAAACTTTTAGTCACTGTAAGGTAGTCCAAATAAGATCCCCCCTTGAGTCTTACTCTTTTGTCTCTTTAAAGTATGTGTATTGAATTTTGATTTCTTCTGCAGACTGTTTAATTATTTGGTAAGAATAAGGAGGACTCAGAGTTTTGAGTCAAAATGCTTTTCAGGTTTTGATAGTTTCAAAGAAAGTAAGCTTCCAGCTTTTCCATTCTAGTGTCGGGAGAGGGATGTGTTGCTTGTCTTGGAAGATGATTTTTAGTGCTTTTTGTGCTCCATATCACATATTACTAGTAGTGCTAAAATGAAAACTTAGTTGTTCTTTCTGATGTTTTAGTCTGATAGGCTCATACTGCTTTCCAGGTTTTCTGAATCCTTCTGTGGTGTTGGTAATTGCACTGTCTCTTTTACTCTTGATGTTTTGAGCATCGATGTTCTCTCTTTCCACTTCATTTTTATTGTTGAAAGTCTTAAATGCGTCTGGAACCCTCCATGTGGTGTAAGTAACAACTTACTGTCAAATCTACAAATGTCCCACACATTCATTGAATTTAAATCTAAGTCACCGTCTCATACCTGTTTTCTTCTTGTTGCTGAAGCTAGGTGGATATTATTCCAGCCTATTATTAATCAGTTTCTTGATTTAGTACTGGGAACTGTTAGTCTCCTCACCTCCCCCAATATTAGATGTATGCAGATGGAGAAGTTGGCATAAGTCATGGGTTCTGCTCAACATAGGCCCGATTCACTAATCCATTGTGGAATTTAAACTGGTTGGAAAAATGCTTGTGCTAGAATGCTTGTTATTAAACAAAAGACATGGTCAGCCTCTAGTTTTGTTTTCTACTCTAGTGTATTGTAATTAATATTTGTCTAAATACTTAGATGTGAAGAAAGTGACTAGTAAGTAAAGAGACGACTGGGCAATGGAATGGAGAAAGAAATGTTATAAATTGCCTTAAATCTAAATTTAGAAATATCAAGGTATTTAATTTAGTGAAAGACTCAAAATTCCTTTATGAAGTAAAGCAGGAGTTGGATACTTTTTCTTTCTTTCTTTCTTTTTGTTTTGAGGAAGATTGGCCCTGAGCTAACTACTGCCAGTCCTCCTCTTTTCGTTGAGGAAGACTGGCCCTGAGCTAACATCCGTGCCCGTCTTCCTGTACTTAATATGTGGGACGCCTATCACAGCATGGTGTGCCAAGTGGTGCCGTGTCCGCACTGGGGATCCGAACCGGCGAACCCTGGGCCACCGAGAAGCGGAATGTGTACACTTCACCGCTGCGCCACCCGGCCGGCCCTGGATACCTTTTCTGTCACGGGACAGTTAGCAAATATTTTAGGCTCTGCTGGCTACATACTCAGTTCCATGTTCTTTGTTGTTATTTTTACCACTCTTTAAAAATGTAAAAGCCTTTCTTAGCTTGCAGGTGTACCAAAAAAGGCTACAGGCTGTAGTTTGCCCACCTGTGAAGTAGAGCATCATGCTGGCAGTATTTTAGATGCATACTATGTTTTTATTTTAAATTAGCCTACCTTATTAAAAACATTAAAGTGTTGATGTATTTAATGGGTTATAATTTATTGGAAAAATGCTTGCCTTTAAAGCGTAAGTTTAAAAATGTATTTTCAAAAGATGATCCTTCTGCTACCTAGCTTCTCCTACTTGCCCCACCCTGCCCCAAAAGCACCTTGAGTATCTGTCTATATTTTGAAAGTAAGATAACAGTTGGTAGAATTTATGAGTTGGTATATTTCATTGGACTGCTTCGTCCCTCCCTTCTTACCTTTCATCCTTCCTGTGTTTGCCTGCTCACCAAGTCCCAAGCATAGTGCTAGGTTTAAATGATTACACTCCAGAGATTACGTTGTAATGAAAAGTGACTGCATAAGTATGTACAGAGTGTTCTGGGATCTCTTAAGTTTAAACATCATGTACCTATTTCTCACGTGTTTATCTCAACCTCTTAAGATTGTAAACTCCATGAGGACAGCAACTATAATCTGCTTATCTCCTGCAGTGTCCAGTCATGAGGCCCCACACAATAGTAAGTGCTTTGTAGATATTTGTTAAATTAAATTGCTTTATGTGCCCCAAAGGAAAAACTTGGAAAAGGTTTTTAATTTGAATTAAATTAAACTTATTTGTTTCTTGACTTGCCCTTTGGCGGTATCATCCCTGTGTTATGGATGAAGACGCTTAGGCTCAGAGGTTATGTAACTGAGTTAATAGCGGAATCCTGACTTGGATCCACGATTACCCACCTCTTAAGACCTGGTTATTTCCCTCATACAGTATCCTTCTCAGGTATACAACAAAGTCTCAATAACAAAGGCCATTTATTCAGAAAGTGACCTATGTAGGTACACAACAGCAATCCTCATACAGATGCCTCCCGCCCCCACATTCTCACACTCAAGCAAAGATGTTCTCTTGAGTGATACTGAGTGTTTAACTGGTACCATTCACTGAAATTTCTGTCTACTTTTAAATTAAGGGTTTGTGTCTCTTCAAATTATGTGTACTGGTTACTCTGCATGGTTATCATAGAGGCTTGTACACATTATTTTCCCATTGTACTTAATTCATGTTATCTGTGGGAGCATTTACCACTTTTCATTTCATCTGTCTCCCCCCCCCCCCCCACCCCCCAGAGCTCCTCAGGAACAAGGCTTTGTCTTAATTTCAGCTCCTATGCTTAACACAGAGTACTTGCTGAACGGAGTGCAATTATTTAATAAAATAAAACCTTAGTCCCTCATTTTCTCTGTGATTAATTAGGGGGATCAGGTAGGGAATCTTTTTTCCCCTGAGTGCTGAATTAAAGTAACATTTACTGAGAGTAGTTTTACCTTTTTTGGTTATAAAGGTATTATATATAGCCATTGTAAAACATGATTGTGTTGTTTTCAAACCTATTAAGAACTCCCCCAAAGTATGTAGAATTCTTCATAATTCCTTATGAAACACAAGCTCAACTGAGCACTCCATGTGATTCATGATAGAAATTTTGAAAGGTATATAGAATAAAACTAGAGTTAGGCTAGGGAAGACGATACTCTGCTCTGTTCATTTTGTGGCTTTGGTTGAAGTTTTTGGTGATTGTTGCTATAGTAAAACCTGTTTTTAATATGTTGTTAGTCAACACTATACAGATAATGAACCTGATAAATCACGGGCAAATTGACTGACTTTTCATTTTCAGCAGAGTTTGTGTTATATTCAAACATACAGTAAC